ACAATAATCCATCCCACGTATTAGATTTCAGCACTGTCCAGTTGGACAAGGATCTGACCTATGAGGAGGAGCCGGTAGCTATCCTAGACCGACAGGTTCGTCAGTTGAGATCGAAGTGTTATCCTTCGGTTCGTGTGCAGTAGAGAGGTCAGCCAGTTGAGGCAGCTACCTGGGAGTCCGAGTCCGATATGAGGAGCATATATCCCCATCTTTTCACCGTCTCCGTTCGAGGACGAACAGTTGTTAGATGGAGAATGTGAGACCCAAAAGGTCATCTTCTATTTTAGAATCCGATTTTTTGTTCCGAGGCCTTAAAAACCTCACTTTATCTCTCCTCGATTTGCGTGCGCAATCCGGGCATGTATCCGGAAGCCTTTATGTGAAAATTTGAGAAAATATTAAGTTTTGCCCTTAAAAGTGATTTTAGTTGACTTCAGTCAACATTTTTAGTAAACAGACCCGGACCCGTGATTTGACGGTCCCGGAGGGTCCGTAGAAAAATATGGGACTTGGGCGTATGCCGGAATCGAATTCCGAGGTCCCTAGCCCGAGAAATGAATTTTTGAAGAAAATTGTTAAACTGGAAATATAAAGGTTTTAGAAATTGAATAATGTTTGAACTTGTTGGTATCGGGCCCATATTTTAGTTCCGGAGCCCGATGCAGGTCCGTTATGATATTTATGCCCTATCTGTGAAGTTTGGTAAGAAACGGAAGTGATTTGACGTGATTCGGACAATTGGTGGAGAAAATGGAAAGTTTGAAACTATCTTGAAAATTTCATGTGTTTTGGTGTTGAATTCATAGTTCTAGGTGTTATTTTGGCGATTTGATCGCATGAGCAAGTTCGTATGATGTTTTAAGACTTGTGTGCATGTTTGGTTTGGAGCGCCGAGTGCTCGGGTGAGTTTTGGATAGGCTACGGAGTGATTATGGAACTTAGAAATTTGCTGGTATGACTGAACCTGTTGCAGGCCTCTGATCTCGCAATTGCGAGGTCAGGCATCGCAATTGCGAACCCAACAGGTTTCGCTTTTGCGAGGCTTTTATCGCAATTGCGATCATAAGCTGGGCCAGGCAGTCTTCGCAATTGCGAAGTAAATTTGGGTAAGGCAGTGGTCATAAAAGTGATTGTTTTATTGCATTCGCGGAGGTATCTGTTCGCAATTGCGAACTACCTTCACAATTGCGAAGGCAGCAGAAGTGTGGGGAATTTCGCATTTGCGATGGTTCTTCGCATTTGCGAACTTCGCAATTGCGATGCTCAGGTTGCAAATGCGACATCTACAGCTGATCATAACATAAGTTAGACGGGAATTTCTCCCATTCTTCACATTTTTCAAAACCTAAACTTCAAGAGGCGATTTTCCTTGGGCAAGTTCATCCCCAAATCATAGGTAAATGATTCTTAACTTATTTCTTTCAATCTATTTCATCTTTTTACAAGATTTCATCATAGAATCTAGGGTTTTTCATGGTGGAATTGGGTATTTCTGGGTAGAACTTAGGAATTTCGAAATTTGGGGATTTAGACCTCAAATTGAGGTCGGATTCCAAAACCAATTGTATATTCGGGCTCCGAAGCGAATGGGTAATCGGGTTTTGGTCCAAATTTCGAGTTTTGACCAAGCGAGCCCGGGATCGATTTTTGACTTTTTGGGGAAAATGTTGGGGAATCTATAATTATGCATTGGAATTGGTTTCTTTAGCGTTAATTGATGTTAATAAGTTAATTATGATTAGATTTGAGCGGATTGGAAGTGGAAACTAAGGAAAAAGCGGTGTTTGAGGCTTAAGTTTGGCCGTGGAATCGAGGTAAGTGTTGTGACTAACCTTAGCTTGAGGGATTAGGTGTTGTTGCCTTATTTGCTACGTGTTTAGTTGTTGAGTACGATGTATAGGTGATGTGACGACTATCTATACGTTGTTATCGGGTCATAACATGCGAGTCAGTCTTATACTTGTGACCGTGGTATTCCTTTATACGTACTATTCATGCTTTAACTGGTTAAATCTTCATGTTAAGCAGGTTTTATTATGTCTTCCCCTGTTTTAGATATTGGTTGAGTATTGGCTCAAGTTGAGATTTATATTGTGAAGTTAAATGATGAAACGGGGTTGTTTATTTATGATTCCCTTGCCGGGTTGTTATTGTTTCTGTTGTTTGGGTGAGGAAGAGTGTAAAGCACGAAGGGTGATGCCGTGCAATATTTTGTAAGTGAGTGTTAAAGCACGAAGGGTGATGCCATGCCGTATTATGATATTGATAATGCACGAAGGGTGATGCCGTGCCATATTATGAGAGAATTAATGCACGAAGGATGATGCTGTGCCGTTTCTGTTATTACTTATGGTGAGGACGAGAGTAAAAGCACGAAGGGTGATGCCGTGCACATGTTTGTTATGTTATTATGTTTGTTGGTTCAAGCATGACAATTACTGAGTTTCGGTACTGTATTATTTTCAGAATTTGGTATTCCCCTAGCATGTTCCCCCTTCCTGTTATTATCTGTTAAATTTCCGTTATTGTTATTTCTTCGTATATGATTTATCTGCACAGGTTCATGTTATTAGTCGTGTCCTAGCCTCGTCACTACTTCACCGAGGTTATGCTCGGCACTTACCAGTACATGGGGTCGGTTGTACTGATACTGCACTCTGCACTTTCTGTGCAGATTTCGGTGTTGGACCTTGTGATTAGAGTTGGGTTGCTGCCTTTAGTCCATCAGGAGACCCAAGGTAGATCTGCTGGTGTACGCAGACCCTGGAGTCCCCTTCTATCTATCTTAGCTTTATTCCTGTTTTCTTTCATTCCGAGAACAGATGTATTTCCTTTAAACCAATATTTGTAGAAATTCTTAGACGTTTGTGGATTGTGACACCAGATCTTTTGGGTAGTCGTGTGTAGTGTTTTAAATTGTCATAAAATTTCCGCACTTCTTAATTGTTTAGTTTAAGTTATTATTAATTACTGCTTCGGTTAGTGATTATCGTAATAGAATTTTATCTGTTGGCTTGCATAGCATTCTAAGAGTTAGGCGCCATCNATATATATAATAATAAAAAAAAATTATTTATCGGCTTATTAGTTTTAGAAGTGGTTAAAAATATACATTTCTTCAAAATTATAAACCCTTTTTTAGGGTCTAAATTTTTACAAAATAGTGAGCTATATTGGCCATTGTCATTGAAATCATGTAAGTTTATGTTGATACATATGTATGGATATTACCAAATTGTGTTCTCATTGCAAACAAATATATCTGACATTATTTTGAAATGAGAAAAATCTTCAGTTATATACTTATGAATAATTCCTAAATAATCACATTTTCTTTTCAGGAACTGAACGAAACAACCCTTCCTTTTTCTTCCATTCCATGAAAATACTGGCCGCACGTCCAGGAGATGAGGGCAGAGGCGAATCTAGAATTTTTATAACGTGGGTACACCATTAAAGAAAGTAGAGAAAAAAACGTATTAAGTAGGATTTGATCTTGTTCCTCTAAGTAAATAACTCAGTATTCAATCAAGTGCATCATTTAACCTCTTTGGAGCATGGGTTCCAGCAGATAATATTAGACCAATTCTAAAAAATATGAACATAAAATACCTAATTTTGGGGAGAGACCATGTGTTCACGTGCCCCATATACTTACCTATAAATCCGCCCCTGTGTGTGTGAAGAACAAGTATAAACAAAATTAGATACTATATATTTAGAACTCTTCCTCGACTCAAGATCCCTAGAGTCTAAATTATGGATTGGCCACTAAATTTAATATGAGACTTGGGGTGTGTTTGGTATAACGGAAAATATTTTTCGTGGATAATATTTTCCAGGAAAATATTTTTTTTGGAAAACAAGTAGTAATCTTATTCATTTTCTGGTGTTTGATACGTAAATTAAGGAAAATAACTTCTCAAGAGTATTCATAAATTATTTAGATACAATAAACATGAATCCATAAACTTTGGAACTAACAACCTTCCGAACCCACAAATTTCATAAACTTTCAAACCACTAAACTTTCGAATCCGCGAACTTTCAAACCCGTAACTAATTTTTAAACCCGTAAACTTCCAAACACATAAACCTCCGAATTCATAAATTTGGAACTTGTAAAATTTCGAACCAGTAAACCGGAAGATGAAAAAACTAACTGAAAATATTCAAAAAAAGTATTTTTTTCCCCGAGGGGGTGGGGGGTGGTGGCGGAACAAAAACTGAAATTTAAAAAAAAAAATCTTTTTGGAGAGAGGGAGTAGGGTGTGTAGGCATGGGGGTAGGATTGAGTGGGTGGGTCTGTGGGGGTGTGGGTTGGTGATGGTTGGGAAGATTGAGAAGGAGTTTTGAAAAATATTTTTCCTTCTCTTGATAAGGAAAATATTTTCCTCCAATTGGAGGAAAATGAGTTAGTAAGGAAATGTTTTCCAAAATATTCACAAACAAACATGGAAAATTGAAAAACATTTTCTGAAAAATGTTTTCTTCATACAAACACACCCTTGGTATTGTTTGCAATCCAGCAAAAGAGTATCGTCTATTACCCAACCGCTATTACAATGTATATGACATAGTCTGTGGGTATAATCTTATCTTAATTCCTTCATAGTCACCTCATTATTCTGTGTATTAAGCGTTTGACTTATGATTGTAATGGACGTGCTTGGGCTCTTTCAATCAGAACGTGAATACACATGCATCCGGGGGCAAGTCATGGACAAAAGCAGATTCAGAAGTCATGAGCCCCATCTGCAGTAAAGCCTCAGTCAACTTCAATTTCCAGTGCCTTGGGGCCTGCTTAAGTCCATAGAGGGATTTTTGCAGTTTGCAGACCTTCTGAGACTCCTCCTGTCTAGCAAATCCTTCAGGAATGTGCATAGAGACTTCCTCTTGAAGCTCTCCATTGAGAAAAGCATTGTGAACATCCATTTGATAGAGACACCAGTGCCTTAATGCTGCAAGTGCTATAATAGACCTCACAGTGACCATCTTGGCTACTGGGGAGAATGTTTGCGTGATCCAGACCCTCTTTTTTGACTGTATCCTTTTGCAACCAACCTGGCCTTATATCTTTGCACTTCACCTGATGCTCTATACTTTACTTTAAACATCCATTTGCATCCAATTGGCACTTTTCCTTGTGGCAAATCTATAGTTGTCCATGTGTGGTTGTCCTCTAAAGCTGCAATCTCAAGTTGCATAGCTTTTATCCACTTTGGATCAACAACAACCTCTTTGAAGGTTGTGGTTATGTCACAGATAAAAAGTTGTGAAAGCTTTCAGGAAATGAGGAGTCCGATGGTTATCGAACACATATGATGAAAGGGGATAAGCATAGATAGTGCCCTAGGACTTTGTCACATAATGTTTCAACCACAGTGGAGGTTTACTGTGTCTGAGTGATCTTCTGAGATTATGAGTCTCTGAAGCATCTGTGGAGTCATAGACTACTGGTGGTGGATCTGGTGCTTCAGAATTACCAGGAACACCAAGCAGGTCAGGTAGTTGTTCTTGAGCTTCTTCTGGAACTAGTATCTCCCCCTAGGATGAAGTTGTGGGATTTGGTGCTTCAATAGCAGCTTAAGTATGGTTTGTTGGAATAGAGAAGCTAGGATAAGGCTGAGATAATGTTGGGGACAGGAGGTCCAAGACCGGAAATAAAGGAGTGCTTGAGCTTCTCATGTCCTTGAATGGAAAGATGGCTTCATGAAATACTACATTCCTGCTTACAAAGAATGACTTAGAATGTAGATTATATAAAACATATCCCTTTTGTGTTGGTGAATATACCATGAGTACAGATGGTATTGCTCTGGAAGAGAACTTGTCATGTATATTATGACTGGTTGCATAGCTCAAATAACCAAACACTCTTAAATGATTCAAGGAAGGAGGGTGCAAGTAAAGCTTTTGAAAAGGCGATTTGTATTCAATGACTTTGGAAGGAAGCCTCTTGAGTAAGTACACAACAGTGTTGACATACTCTCCCCAAAACCTCAAAGGTATTGATGCTTGAAATCTGAGTGATCTGGCCACGTCTAAGATTGTCCTATGCCTTCTCTCAACAATATCATTTTGTTGAGGAATGTACACACAAGTACTCTGATGATCAATGCCTAGTTTCAGTAATAAACTTGTGAACTCAGTATTGAAAACTCACAACCATTGTCTGTTCTAAGTGTTTTCACTTGAGTAGAAAAAAAATTGTGTACTTTGGCAAAAACATTTCTCAGCACTATCAATGTGTCTGACTTGGAGTGAATCAGAAATATCCAAGTGTATCTTGTGAAGTCATCTACAATGGTCACAAAATATCTTTTTGCCATCATAGGTAGTACTCCATAGGGACCCCAAATGTCACAATGAATCAATTCAAGAGCAGATTTTGACACTGTATTACTCAATGAAAAATGCAGTCTTTTTTGTTTAGCAAGAGGACAAACAGTACAAGGATGATGCTCACCTTGTTCTGGATGTCTGAGTACATCATGCCTTTTTATTACATCAAGCGGTGCATGTCCTAACCTTCTATGCCAAAGTAAACTAGTAAGAGAAAAATGATTGCTAGCAGTACAACACTGTTATTTTCTGCACTTTTAATCCCTATCAATGCTGAACCTTGCTGTGCAAAATTCTTCGTCAGAACATATAGTCCACGATCCTCCTTACCAATCGCTTTCACCTGACCACTGCAAAGATCCTGGAAGATACAGAAGTCAGGAAAGAATAGGGCTGAACACTGTAGCTCCTTTGTCAGCTTAGACACAGACAATAGGTTGTATTTAAATTCTGGGATATACAGTACATTAGATATGTTTTGACCCTCAAATACAGAAGCTTTTCCTATATGAGATACATAAGCTACATCACCTGTTGGTAGATGGACTTTACTCCTTTCAAACATAAGTTTCTGCTTAAAAGTTTTTAACACTTCTAAGGTGGATTTCATATGGTCTGTTGCTCCTGTATCTACTATCCACTCTTTATTAATACATGAAGTGAATAAGGCTTTCATAGTACCTGCTACAGTTGCAGATTTCTCAGATGAACCTTCATTGCATCCCTTGCTTAGCAGTTGGATGATCTGTTGGTACTGTTCCTGCGTAAAGAATGAAGCTGATGGTTGTGCCATAGAGGTACCAACAGATATGGGAGCATTCCTTCCTTGTCGCTGTGGCTGGAGTGGAGGTGGTGGAGCAGGTTTGCTCACATAGTTTCCTGTTGTTGAGTTAGCATCAAAATTACAAGTATAGTTTGCATAACTACCTAAATTACTTCCTTTCCTTTTTGACTTAAAATCTGGTGGATAACCAATCAGCTTGAAGCAGTTTTCCTTTGTTTGGTCTTTGTAGTGGCAGTACTCACATTGCAGCTGATTCTTCTTAGACTCGAGATTGTCTCCAGTGTAGCCCGCTCCATTGTTACTATACAAAGTAGCTCCTTCTAAATGCTCAGAGGTTTGAACAATTTGAGTAAGATTAGCAATTCTCCTTTGACTCTCTTGATAAATAATCAAGGAATATGCCTTGTTTAAGGAGGGAGTTGGATGTATCATCATGATCTGATTTCTGGCTTGAGTGTATGTTTCATTTAATCCAGTCAAGAACTGAAGGAGCCTTTGATATTCAAAATGCTCTAAGTTTCTCTTAGACTCTGGACACGGGCACCCAGCGCATGGCATAATTGCATCAAACTCATCCCATAAGTCTCTGAGTTGGAGAAGTAATCAGCCACTGTCATAGTGCCTTGACTAAGTGAGTGAATTTCCTTATGAAGAAACTGCACCCTCGAGCAAGTCACCTTATCAAACCTCTCTCTCAAATCCTCCCAGACCTTATGTGCACTCGATGCATACAATACACTACTTAGTAAACCAGGTCTAGCAGCATTCATAATTCATGAAAGAACAACAACATTCACCTTTTCCCACAGATCATGTAGTTCAGATGCAAATCTAGACTTAGGATATCGACTATCTACAAACCCTAGCTTGCTTTTCCTTAGCAGACCAATGCGCATAGCACGACTCCACAATGCATAATTTTCAAATCCAACAAGTTGAAAAGAGATCAGAGAACTACCCGGTGTGTCGGTTGGCTGCACGTACAAGGGGTGATTGTGATCTATTGTAGGGAAGACACTTCCTCTAGTTGTAGCATTCACTGGATTTGAAGTTCCAGTAGCATTTGTAGAAGTAGTGCCATGAATTACATCTTCAATTGCCATCTCTAGCTGAATTAACGACTGACAAACAAAAAAAAATCAAGCCCTAGCTTCAATTAGAGTTCCCTCACGAGAATTCGCTAACTTAATTGAGTGAATCAGAGAAACTAACGAAGACAACTGACTTATTGAGTGCCAGTAATCAGTGTCACAGGCTCTGATACCATGATAACTTCCATGGAAATGGAGTTTTGATCACGCCCAACTCTAGTCCTAAAAAGTATAAGCGGTCGCTGCAAATATAATCGGGTCTAATAGTCCGGAGTAGAATCACACAGAGAACTAAGGTTTAGCTACAGCTATTTATTATCACCAAGAATACAAGCTCCAACAATTCCTAAGTTATAAATATTAAAATTCCTATTTTAAACTAATTTAACTAACACATTAAATGACCGAATTAAAAACTAAAGATACTAAGGGTTGGAGAGAAGATTAAGGAGGCCTAGAGTTATGATTTTCCCAATTGTCGGAATCCTTCCTGCCACGTCTCCTATAATTTTTCCTAAGTATTCTCTATTTATCATGAGTACTCGACTTATCGTAATTCTCTCTCGAGCAACTACAATAATGTACTAGTCATATTTTCTCTAATCACGCTAGCTCTCACTTTTTCACCTCTCACTATGATCACCTCAAAGCTTCGTTATATCTAATCCCGCTTTTAAGCCCGTCGTATTGATCTCTCATATACCTTGGGAGTGACGTTATTCAACAACAACCTAAATATGCACTCTTTCTCAAGCAATACATAATAAATAGGCACATTCAATTGAGAGCGCTTCAATTAACTAAAATAAGCACGTAGTTGAACAAGTGGAATAGGCACATTCAATTGAGAGCTCTTCAATTAACTAAAATAAGCACGTAGTTGAACAAGTGGGATGTGTAAAGGCAAAATTATATTAAAACGTAACAAGAATTCATCCTCCAAAAGGTTCCATCAAAACTCTAGATAATAGATTAGCTACTCATAATAGTATGTAAAACTACAATACTAAAAGTCATAACCAACAATGAAAACTAGGAAGAAGAAGGGGAAAAACTCGTGGTTGAATCTTCCTCCTTGCTCCTAACATGTTCTCGCCTCCTCGGGTTTTTTTTACCCTAATGTAGTGTCCCCCCTTCAAAAGGAAATTTTATGATGTATTTATATCAATTAGGGTTGATGTGGGGCATCCTTGATATCTCCTAATTCGAAAAGGACACGCTGAGTCGCGTGCTAGAGTTGGTGCAACGCGCGACTTCTAGCACGCTCCCAGCTATTTTTCTTCTTCCGTTTTCCTTTCGCGTGCCAGGTCCAGTGCCAACCTTCATACTTCGCTGTTTTTTTGTTCATTTCCTAGGCCATTTCACGCCTACCTTCATGCAATGCACCAATTGTGCCACGCTCCCAAGTCTTGCGTCTCTACTCTTTTTGCATTAAATCATCCAATTCTTGCCAACTTCCATCCAAATTTATTCCTACACACAATAAACATATAATGAGCATATTATATATTTATAAACATGTATTCTCCCGCAACTCACATAAGAAATTATATGCAAACATGCTAAATAAATGCATTTTTCATCAATTATCACTACCCCACACTTAAACTCTTGCTCGTCCTCGAGCAACTTAAAATTAAGCACATGGAAAGTAGCCCAATTCCAAAACAAACTTAAGCATCATAGCAATGACAATGGTTATATCAACGCTCAGAACCCAACATAAGGGCTATTGACATCTTTCCTCATTTTTAGACCAGTGCCAAGACTATTTAAAATATTTCTGTGACTCATCTAACATCTTAACCTCAAAAATTGACTCCGCTACATTCCATACTATAACTTGCTTCTTGTGCCAACTCAAAAACCAAGGACATTGCCAATCCTTTGCAAATCATGTGCCTTCACCAGCAAACCACAAAGAGAAATAGTCCACACACTCAACTATAAGTTCAAGTATAATCTAAGGACTCAAATATTGAAAAAGTTCACTCGCTCTCACAATAAAACTCCTATGCCTCACAAGTTCGTACGATAGGCTTGCCCGTAGTGTAAGACTTAACTAATTTAAGCTTGTAAAATCTAGGATCAAGTAGGACTTTATAGGTTGTAATGTAAACCAAGGGACGAGTAGGATATATGTAGAAAAATAGTGACTAACCCTCCTAAGCATTTTAGTACATCACACTTCACTTTTAAGCACATCTTCTTGTCATGACCAATTCAATGTCTTGCTGTGAACCACACACAATTAAGCCATTCTTCATTAAGCGCATCAAAATATAGATACTTACTAGCCAAAACAAATATATGGGAGGTGTCATTCATTCTTTTTTTTCACTCTCCTTAATTTGGTATTTGTGGCGAGCAAGGCTTTTAAATACAAGTGCACCTTGTCGGCCTTTCAATGGTTCCACTAGAAAGCTACCCAATCTCTTTCTTTACTCTTTGAGTGACTTAAGTGCCTTCGGAGGTAAAGGGTAAACAAGATACGATTTAGAAGAAAATAGAGGTTGGTTTGTAATGTTAGTGCCAAAGAAAATGATCTATAGGCTCCAAAGGGCTGACTACGGATAATGTAATCACTGGTAGGCAAATAGGCTCAAGGGACAATCAAAGAAATGCCTATATCATTTCCTCAACTCACAAGACTTAATCATTTCGCTTCGACTCACACACAGGGCAAGTTCTAGACTAACAAGGGATGACACAGAGTACAACTAAAATCTCACCTCACATAATGCACATGATTTACTCAGGACGGCTCAGACCCAACTCTCAAGCTAAAACAACTAGCACAGTCATCATATAATTCAAACACTAGGAAGTAACAATAGGAGTCAATAAACGAGTCCAAGCGTCAAAAGGAAGTCACACATATTGTCAAGGCGTATAGTCACAATAATCAAGAAGAAGATACTCAGCACAAATACTCCACCTCTAAGCCCCATCATAAAATATGTCAAAAAGCATAGATACTGAAGTTCTTCCTATTCCATTATCAATTGAAAAAAAAAATAAAAAAAATCTTTTTCTATTTTTCTTAAGACTTTAAACCCTCAAGAAAACTGTCTAGGAAGTCCATCAAAGGGAAAAGTCCAAAACCTTTTGAAAATTCTACCTACAAAAAAAAAACTACTACCCGGTTCAAAGAGTCATCCCTTGAGAAAGAACTGTGGCCATAAGAAAAATCAAGAGGGATTATTTCTACCTAATTATTATTTTCAACACACATAAAATAATACAACTAAAATATCATAGGAAATCACACAAACAGTCTCTTCACTACCCCACACTTGTCCTCGAGCAACTTAAAATTAAGCACATGGCAAGTAACCTAATTACAAAACAAACTCAAGCATCATAGCAATGATAATAGTTTGTATCAACGCTTAGAACCCAACATAAGGGCTATTGACATCTTTCCTCATTTTTAGACAAGTGCCAAGACTATTTATAATATTTATGTGACTCTTCCAACATCTTAACCTTAAAAATTGACTCCACTACATTCCATATTATAACTTGCTTCTTGTGCCAACTCAAAAACCAAGGACTTTGTCAATCCTTTGCAAATCATGTTCCCTCACCAGCAAACCACAGAGAGAAATAGTCCACACACTCAAATATAAGTTCAAGTATAATCTAAGGACTCAAATATTGAAAAAATCCACTCGGTCTCACAATAAAACTCATTATGCCTCACAAGTTCGTACCATAGGCTTGCCCGTAGTCAAGACTTGACTGCTTGAAAAATCTAGGATCAAGTAGGACTTTATAGGTTGTAATGTAGGCCAAGGGACGAGTAGGATAAATAGGAAAATAGTGACTAACCATCCTAATCACTTTAGTACATCACTTTTAAGAACATCTTCTTGTCATGACCAATTCAACGTCTTGCTGTGAGCCATACACAATTAAGCCATTCTTCATTAAGCACATCAAAATATAGATACTTACTAGCCCAAACAAAGATATGGGAGGTGTCATTCATTTTTTTTGTTCACTCTCCTTAATTTGGTATTTGTGGCGAGTAAGGCTTTTAAATACAAGTGCGCCTTGTCGGCCTTTCTATGATTCCACTAAAAAGCTATCCAATCTCTTTCTTCACTCTTTCATCGACTTAAGTGTTTTCGGAGGTAAAGGGTAAACAAGATACAATTTAGAACAAAAAAGAGGTTGGCTTGTAATGTTAGTGCCAAAGAAAAAGGTTTATAGGCTCAAAAGGGCTGACTACGGATAATGTTATCACTGGTAGGCAAATAGGCTCAAGGGTCAATCAAAGAAATGCCTATATCATTTCCTCAATAGATACTTCCATTATAAGTGGTAGTGAGAATTACGGTGACAGTTACTATTTATAGGGACCATTTGTGGTGGTCGAAAGTCGAAATAGTAGTTGTGGTGGTGAAAGTCGAAATAGTAGTGAAAATGAGGGTTCCAGTAGTACGAACTCGCACGAAGGGC